TTGATCTTGCCATTTTGCGTAAAAAAAAAAAAAAAAAACAAAAAACGTGCAAAGTATAACAGCATTTAAAAAATAATTCGTCTGTAACGAAATATTCGGAAAATTTATAAAGGCAGATTTTTGCTTTAAAAATTCTCTAACAAATGTTCTAAATATTCCAAAATTTTAATTCCTCGATAAGAAAGTAACTCTGCAAGAACAACAAGAAAGTTTTTAAATCGTTCATCTACAAAATTTTCTTCCAACAGCGATCAGAGGAAAGACATGATAATTCGTTTCAGTTTGCATGTGTGCAATAATTTTAATCGAATACACGTGACTGAAAGTTTCGATAGCATTCGGTAGATTTTTCGGTAGCCACTCTTATCGAATCGTTATATAGAATATTCGATCGTGACAGGTCGTTTCGGATGCGCTGGCGAATTCTCCGAGTATTATGGAAATAAGACCGTGTGGCAGAAACCGAATGGAGTGCCAGGTCGGGGGCCGATTGATTTTTAAAGTGCCCGCCGTGGGAGGCTGTCGTGGAATCTACCATTGGGACTGGTTCGGAATACAGAATTCCAAATATCAAGGAAAATTCACCACCCGACTTTTCCTACGTGTCAATATTTTTATTTTCTCGTTGGAGAAAAGCTCGAGAATAGCCTGGCCAATTAAATCGTTGTTGAGCTTAATTGTTTAATTTAATTTCACTTAATCTAAATTCAATCGACTTTTTAATAAATTTACTCCAATCGCGGCGTTAATTTCAGTCAAGAATCAAAAGAGAACTGATCTCAGCTTTATCGCGCGTCGGTATATAATTTTATCTAGAAATTCAAAGATAACTGATCGGGTGCCATTATTTCACCACTGATTTTCATTTACCTTATTCATCGTGTCGTGTGGGTTGTATCTGTGATAATTTCAATTTAAAAATTGGACACGTTTCGCAACGTCGCTGCCGAACTCAATTCCGATTATCCGTTGCCAGCGCATTTCCGCTGATCGATTGGATTTCGTCGAACAAAGAAGCAAACGAGCCGGGAAATTTTAATTGCGACAATTCGAGTCGAACTGAATGTTGCACGGAGAACGCACTTCCCATCGAGCAAATCTCCGATCCCAGAAGAATTTTCATCGAACAAGAATAGATCGGAGAAGATGTTGGGACATTAATCGAGTGGGGAGACTGTTCCATCGAGAGCTTAAAGCGTTCCCGTTCGCTTATTTCTCATTTTATTCCCGGTACGCTCGGGCAGCCTTCGTGAAAGCACACCCCTAACGACGAGGGAGAGCATAACGGTAGCAAATTCAGCCTTAACAACCTAATAAGAGTACGGCTATTAAAGCGTGAAATGACAAATGCTTTAATAAGCCGTTCCTTCCGCCTTCGAAACACCGCGTTCGGCGAATTCCCAACGAACCGAACGTTCAAGAAGAATAGAGAGAATTTATAAATTAGAAGATCCATTACTGAAGAAACCCTGGCGTTAATTTCCGTTTTTCATAGTGCGAGCAGAACTGATGACTTTGGAACCACGTTGAAGAAGAATGGGATAGAATTTACAAATTAGGAGATCTATTATTGAAGGAAACTCTGACGTCAATCTCTGTTTTTCATAATGCGAGCAGGAAGGATGATAATAAGATCGCTACGATGAAGGAAATATCGAAGTAAAATGAATACAATAATTAATAGTACGGAAAGTTTAATCTATTATTTAGAAATAAATACATCACTAAATTTTTTCCTTCGACAACCCCTAACATTCTCCATCTGAACACTATTTGTGTAGAACCGATATGAACCAAATCAAAATTGAATGTTGGATATTATCGTTATTAAAAAGTAACACGCTTTATTAAATCTATTTTCACTCCATCGGAGCCAAACACGATGTACCCAAAACTCCATTCTCAATATCATTTTCAAATCGTTTCAACATCTGTTGCAAGTTACTGACAAAGGAAAAAGGATTTCTAAAATTGTAGTACAACTGAGAGATAATTCTACGCAACAACAGATTTCTTTTTTT